TGTCAAACTGTATTTTCTTATACTCCATATATCAAATATTTAGCTTTCTGTCTCTCCTCTCCTACTTCTCCCATTCCTCTCCACTCTCCTTTTTATACTTTAATCTATTTCACACACATACATACATACATACATACACACACACACACACACACACACACACACACACACACACATACATACATACATACATACATACATACATACATACATACATACATACATACATACATACATACATACATACATACATACACACACACACACACACACACACACACACACACACACACACACACACACACACACACACACACACACACACACATACTCCATATATCAAATATTTAGCTTTCTGTCTCTCCTCTCCTACTTCTCCCATTCCTCTCCACTCTCCTTTTTATACTTTAATCTATTTCACACACATACATACATACATACATACACACACACACACACACACACACACACACACACACACACACACACATACATACATACATACATACATACATACATACATACATACATACATACATACACACACACACACACACACACACACACACACACACACACACACACACACACACACACACACACACACATACTCCATATATCAAATATTTAGCTTTCTGTCTCTCCTCTCCTACTTCTCCCATTCCTCTCCACTCTCCTTTTTATACTTTAATCTATTTCACACACACACACACACACACACACACACACACACACACACACACACACACACACACACACACACACACACACACACACACACACACACACACACACACACACACACACACACACACACAGATAGAGAGAGAGAGGCTCACTCACTCACTCGCTTCAGATAAATATATGCATGTGTATTTAAAAATATGGTGATTTGTGCATTTATATACAGGATGAATAGTATTTTGTAGACTTACAAGGTAGTTTCGTAAGTTTATGAAAATGATGGAATTTTACTAATTCCAACAAAAATATTGCCTCTAAAAGTACACTGGCAGAATAACAAGTCTTGCCTTCCATAATGAAAAATAGGTTGTGTTATAACTGTTAAAAGAGCATCATCATGACATAAAGAAGAAAAGCATTATTTTCTCCAATGTCTGAATAATTTTGGTTGAAGAAACTGATTCTGTCATGACATAATATAAGGGCTTATCCTTTTTTAAAAATTTCTGTACATATAATTTATTTGAAAAAAAGGACCTTGTTGACAAAAATAATAATATATATTTATAAACTACCTCAATTTTAATATATATGACATATTAAATATTCAAAATCTCCCATAATGGCTGTGCTTCTAAGGCACATGTGATACTAGTCCTGGACAGTTGTGAAAAGCCTCCATGAAGGACTTAACCTGATGCCACTGGGGATGGCATGCATGTATATGCTATGCCCACTGTGAGTTTAGTTTATTATCTTTCTTTACACAGATGGCTCCACAAATACTTAGTTAGAATGAGCCAATTACTAGTACTACCTATCTCACCGATTTACCCTTTTCCTTGATTTTCAGAAATATTCTTGTTTATCTTATATTGGTATTAGTAATGTCAATAACATTATCATGAATTATTATAATAATAATAATAATAATAATAATAATAGCATCCCTATTTGACAGCATTAGTAAAAAAAAATCATTTTCCTGAAAACTCAAGGAGAGGTGAACACATCAGGTAAGGTCACAAGGCTGACCAATTGACCACTTAGTGGCTAAGCACTTGTGAAGCCATATATGTATAAAGATGTTTCATAACACAATACTACAGTGAACACTACATTTTCCCAGCAAAATATATAAATAAAATTCAGTACAGGCTTTTTTTCAGAATAATCCAGTGGCTGACTAGAAAATAACATTTAATCCCATAATCCATATACTTAATTGAATTTTTGTTACATTTCTAATGTTTCTGTAGTATTGGTTTTCATACTTTAGATATTGATTTTTTTCGTATTTGCATGCCCTGGGCTGTAAATTTTGCTTGGGTCTCCCTATTATTTTATCTGATAATCACTACCTCATACAAATATTAAGCTAGACTTGTGATGATATAAACTATATAAGTGGGATAATCATTCTGTTCACACAAGGTGTACACAGTAAAAGAAGTATTCAGTTAACAAGACTTGTGTTGTGAGAAAACTGACTTCAAGAGATCTACTGTGACTACACATACATATCACATGTTACTATGGCAATCACGGCTGAGGTACGATGTTTCACCAAGGGTCCTCAGTCCATGTTCATAAATGCTTCTGGATCCTGTAAAAAGGGGGAAGTTTGGTAAATATAAAGAATCCAATATATTACTGATAATCTATTAATATTAAAAAAAAAACACAACATAGCAAACAATATATTTTACAAAACTTACAAAACTTAAACTTTCCAAGTATAGTTCATGAATTAGTGTTACCAGTATACAAGAGCTTACAGAGTAAAAACTTTAAATCTATTTTGTATATGATTCCATTGTCAAAACAGAACTTCCCTAATTAATACAAAATGTGATGGGAAAATTAACTTACCTGATTCAGCTTCTTGAATTCTACAATCTGAGTAAAGATGTATTCAAGAATATATTTAGCATCCCTGGATGTAGGCGGCAGCTTTGAGGTAACTCCCAGGATATCTCCACACTCCCTCACATAATACTCCAAGTCCTCATCTTTACATTTGTTTGTAACCTGTAACAAGATGTAAATTTGTTGAATGACTAGTCTATCAAAGTGTTTTTCTATGGTAACAATTTATCAGCTGTACTGAAGGAACATCAGCATATCACATACTTAGTGAAAATCAGTAACAAAACATTCAAGGCACCAAAATAGTTTGTGGGATACAGAAATTTGTATTAATCCTTCATTTAAATTCAACAGAACTATACACACCTGTGCCAGTCTTGACTTCTCAGAGCTGAATGCCTCGTCTAAGTCATACAACTCTAGAGAAGGGTGTGGCAATTCTCGAAATGAAGGAGGAAATACCTACAGAGATGAAAGAAAGAAGAAAAAGTATGTAATTTCAGTATCACAATTTATCAAACTGCCTAAAATAATTATTTTACTTGACTGCATACCTCATTAATAAGACTATAAAAAAGTATGTAATTTCAGTATCACAATTTATCAAACTGAGCCTAAAAAACTCATTTTACTTGACTGCATACCTCATTAATAAGACTATAAAAAAAACAGAAACTTACTGCAGGCTGTAGTGGCGGCAAAGGTGTCTCAAATTGAGGAGTTATGAGACGAAGTGGTTCATGCTTCACATTTAGCTTGCCATAAGCTTCAATAGCAGCAGGCACAAGTTGCATGTCTATTGACGTCAACTGTTAGAGAAATTGAATAGGAATTTGTTAGGCTGCCTAACCCTTGGTGCCGGGTGACGCCAACTGGCGTGTAAACAAACCGCTCGAAAGCTGGCGTGTGGCTGTACGCCGCGGCGAGCCAGTGATTCGGGCTGATGTCCCCTACACCCGGCGTCATTGGGTTAAAGAAAAAATAACACATAGTCAAGGCCATCTGCTAACTTCATACAGCACAGGTGATTGAAATCTGATGTTTAAAAAATCTTCTTTTCAAAACCTAATATAACCTCATTTATGGCTTTCCTTGCTGACAGAAAAAAGGTTATAAAGAACAACAAAATTGTCAACTAAGCAGTTTCAGTTTCCAATTTTATTTATGATCTAAATCAGAATTCTCACTTTCTGAAGGTAGAAAGCATGTTACTATTTTATAATCTGCCAGAAAGACAGAAAAAAAACATTTATGCAATTGAGACATTTTTACTGACAATCTAAGTGAGTCTTGTCCAAGGGATCACATTTTCTTGAAAATAATCTAAATAATATAAACCTACTGAATGCAACAACAACTTTATATTAAATGCATTAAAATAAGTATGATGATTTTGTTAAATCATGTATGAGTTTTTGTATTATTTGGCAAGATGTCAATACACTACTACTGCCAAACTTAGAACAAAGACATATGTATCTACTTGTAGGTTACATCCAGCAGTTGAAGTAGTTGACTTTGCCTACATTAATATCAGAAATGAAAACCCAAAAGACCTGCCTTTGTATGAAATAGTTGTGTGTAGTCTGTTGGTACTTCCTCAGACTCCTGAAGACATGTCCTTAAACCATCAGCCAAGGAAGCTGTGTCAGGTGTCATGTTATAATCAGATATCTGGAAGATGAAAAAAAAATGATAAGAACCTCACAAAAATAGGTACACACTACATACCCCAACTACTGGTTCATTGCCTCAAACTCTACAAAAGGCAAGCAATAATATCTGCACGGCATGCTTTTTACCTCAGGGTCATCGGCATCAATCTGATTAAGTTTGAAATCAGCAGCTGTGAGGAACTGAAAAATAACATCCTTTATCTTGCTGTTTTCTTCACGATCTATGTACTGATCATTGAACATGTGGGCAGAGCCTAACACCGCTACACGTCCATGGCTAGAGGGCTGCTCGTAGAAGGCACACACCTTAAAAAAGTGCAGAAGGAAAATATGTTAACAGATGATCTCTCTCTTTGAATTACATTTACTTCCAAAAAAATCAAGAGTTCTATGTATCTGCACAGTATTTGCATCAGAGCCAGATATTTACAGGTCTGTTAAGAGGAAATGAGATGCTCCCAGTAGAAAGTACGGCAACGGCTGGTCGAGCAACATTCAAGGTACATCCAAATGGATATACAAATGACATGGACCTGAAAACAGGAGTTCTCACATAAATTTAAAGTTAAACTGTAAAATATCTTTTATTGTATGTAATTATCTCTGTGTATGCATGTGTATATGGATGGATAGATAGATACACAGAGAGAGATAAATATAACACACAGGTTATATATATATATATATATATATATATATATATATATATATATATATATATATATATATATATATATATATATATATATATATGTGTGTGTGTGTGTGCATGTGCGTTTGTGTGTGTGTGTGGGGGGGGGGGGGGCATTTTCACACACACACACACACACACACACACACACACACACACACACACACACACACACACACACACACACACACACACACACACACACACACACACATATACACATATATACACACACACACACACACACACACACACACACATATACACATATATACACACACATACACATATATATACATATATACACATATATATACATATATATCATGTCATGAAAAAATTTGGCTGAGGGTAAGGCAATGGAAATATGCCATCATGGAAAATTCATACTGAAGGCCACAGTGGGAATGACTTCCAATAAGTGCAGAAAGCTCTAGGAGGGTTGCTAGACTCAGTGAGCATTTAGTAAGAAGCTCTAGCATCATTTCCACTGATAAACGAGTGTGGAATATACCATAGGATACCCATGACTGGAAGAGTGCCAGATTCAAGGACATTATTTCCTTTGCTCATGTCCATCATGACTGGTGGCACAGGGTATATTACAGAAAACTGAATATTACAAAAATATTTTAAAATACACAAACACCAAAATGTTATTTATTGTTATTGTTAATGCACAGAGTTATAGACTACTTAGAGATGATATGGAGTCTGCATAAGAAAAAGTCTATAACCATCTTGATATGGCATAACAATTGACATGTAGACCTTCCAAAATGGCAAGAAATTAAAAACCCCTTATGCAGAAAAAGTGATTATAACACTGCAAAGGGAAGACAAGGAGTTGACACTGCAAAGGGAAGACAAGGAGTTGACACTGCAAAGGAGTGTTTGTGAGGGCCAGCCCTACAAGTCTCAATCTCAGGAGATTCACCATTCAAGTAAAACTAATGCCCGGGTTTTGAGCCATGCAGGCAGCGAAGCTTCCAGATCCAGTGGGTTAAGGAAATTAAGATCAATGCCTCATATTTTTCTGAATATTATATAAAATTTTGAATAAAGAGTTTTAGGTTTCAATCTGCTGTCATAGGGATAAAGTCTCATGTTCTGATGTTTATATACTAGATAATACAAATGCTTGTGAGATACAAGCTCTACTTTATGCCCACCTAACTTAACCTAATGTACAAAACAGACTGGGTCACAAATAGAGTACTGCCTTGAATATGATTTCATAATGAAACTTATTTTGATGTGTATTAGATATTACTTGTATACACTAAAAGGCAAGTGATCTGTATTTATCATTGAGGCAACAAATGTGAATGCTATTGCATCCAGCTACATCGCAAAGGAATACTACTTGTGGTTTGCAATAAGTCTGTCTTTGAATCAATGATACAAGAGAGAACCAAGTGCATACAGGCATTTTACTTGACTTGGCAGACATCCCTGAAGCTGAATTTAATGTATAAATGCATATATGTAATGGATGATATTCCCACAACATATATTAGCAAAGCAGATTAAATTCTTGGGAGGCTTGTATCTTGAAAACCCTTAATATGCCATTCAAAATCAGAATAAACAGTGTAAAATAATAATGACAATAACAATTAAAAATATAGAATTGAATAAAATTCCAGAGTGAAGAAGAAAATACGACTCTTCCACTGAAAAAGGTGAAAAGAAATCAATATCACAGAAAAAATATGAAAATAAAAAAAAAAGAAATGCACAGCAAGAAAGAGAAATCTTAAAATATAACATACCTATTTGTGAGTGCATCATCCAAGAGCAGGCCAGGCAGATTCCTTCCAGAAGCCTCTAGGATGGCCCTGTTTAATACGCCATTTGTAATGAGGCACTCCTTTGGATGGAAGTATTTGTAGTAGCAGGTACGCACTACTGAGTCTGCAAAGATTTATCAGAATCAGTGAACAGCAGTAGTTAATTATCTGCATTTTGAAATCTTTATATCCTAATACTTTCTATTATAAAATATTCATTTTAGGCTTTCCTTGATGTCTATGGCAGCAAAGAGATGGTTATAGTTATGACCCTATAAAGATTTAAGAGAAAACAGCTTCAACTACCTTGAAACAATTATTTCAAGTCAAAGAAATAAAAGTCTCATTAAATATATAGTGTACATATCCATTTAATATTACTAGCAAATAAAAAAAACACATTACACAAAAACAACTTTTAATAGTGTGTTGGAAGGTATTTACCATTATTTACAGCTATTCCATACTCCTCAAGCAGGAAGTTTATGTTAGAATTGGCCTTTTTCTCGCCACCCTCCTCAGCCAATACAAAAAGGCTGCCTCCTTCGTCCACATGCCGCCGTAATATAGCAAACTGTCCTTCTGTGAACCTCTGTCGAGGACACGCTAGCACAATCACACCTGCTTGCCCAACACTTTCTTTGTTCAGTTCATCACGGTTGCTTTGAAAAAATTAAATAATCTCATTAGAAAATACCTTGCTGATACCTTTTTCAAGAATGTCAAATATAAAAAGAGAACTAATTACGTAATCATATGCAGGAAACAGACACCTGCTTTCAAATCT